GCATTAACAGTGTTAGCAGCATTAGCAGTGTTAGCAGTGTTAGCAGCATTAGCAGCATTAGCAGTGTTAGCAGTGTTAGCAACATTAGCGGTTGCTTTTTTCTGAGGATGACAACATCCTGGCAAGAGCTGAAAGCTTCATTCCATTCTGAGATACTTAAATGCAAACTTTTACATTTAGCAACAATATTTAAGATTTAAATTTTACATTTAGATTTAAGATTATAAACTATTTACCATTTAATTTGAACATTAAGTAAAAATGAGCAAAATGTAATCACAGTGAGCTAAATAACTTTAAAATGTTAGCTACATTTTTTAACTAGGACTTTACATACAGAAAGTGAACTAAATAAAGATTTAATGAGTTTTAACATTTAATTTTGCACTGGACGCTCCACATGTTCCTGTCTTTTTCTTCATGTTTTGCTGCTTTTTGTCTTGTTTTATTACACAACAAAGAAAAATAATTGTTCAAAATGTGTTCTTATCTTTTTTCCGTTGACTGTGTACTTATGTCGTGGTTGTTTCATGATTTCTAATTGAACAGTTGAACAGGTTTGATTCACATCTTTCCTCTGAACAGATGCTGAGATGATGTCCCATCACCTACACGAGTCCAGCTCTCTGCTTCCTGGTTTGTTGATGTTAACCTTTACTAAATACATTTATTTATTTTTTTACCCTTTTGGCTCAGAAGTGAGAGTTGTTCTGCTTGAAYAACTGCATCCAGAGAAAAATAAATAAATAAAAAGATGACTCACTTACAGATTTCCTCTTACCAAGACGCTTGCCTCAATTTGCATCTTCCTAACTGATGCTGTTTATCAGCAGAAGACCACTTCAAATGAACTGTTGTTGTTTCTTAAACGGCTTGAAAAACGAGCCTAGTGTGAAATTAAATAATGACTCAATTCTTCCTAACTGTTTTTCTCCCCTGATTTCCCTGAAAACTGTAAATGAACAAAGAGAGAGGAAAGTTGGGGAGCTGCTTTGACTACCAAATGACAGGGACAGTGTTGGGTTTTGTGTGCTGCCGGGCCGTGTCCAGACCATATCTCTCCCCCATGATTGCTGCTCCCGTCCCCGATTTGCATTACTGCGTTCCAGCTACAAGTTTGCTGGATCACAAAGAAAATTGAGTCTTTGCATTTTTTCTCTCTCTCTCTCCCTCTTTTGCTTTGTTCAAACAGCTTTCGCTCTCCTTTTCCATGTGGGCCCGCTCTTATCAGGGGGCTGTATGCACATTTCATCAACAGACAGGGGGAAAAATGGATTCAAAAGAAACAGCTTTAAAGAGGCGAAGCTCACTGGATCTGCTGCTCCGAGTCCGCATGTCTGCAACGTTTATCAACTTAGCAAAAAAAAAGTTAGTAAATTTGTGTTTGGTAGATGATTTCTTTATTGTAACAATGCTTCTTAGCAATAAATCTTATATTTAAAAGCCTGTTAATTCCCTTTTAAATGGTGCCACATTTGTAAGGAACAWGCATTTGTGGGATGAGCAGCAGACACACACGAAAAATTAGCCAAACCTGCTGATGCTGTTGACAGCTGTTTTGAGCTTCTGGTCAAATCAGAAGAATTGTTACAACAAATAAATTTTTATTATTACTTTTTAATGCTAAGTATAGAAATGAAAGCATCTCTTCCAGTGTTTTTGTGCATCGTCTAACAGCTGACAGCAGCTGTGGTTTGGTGCTGATAGGTTTTTTTTATTTATTTATGGTTCATCCTCTGTGTAATTTATCACAATTGTTATCAGCAGAGACAAAAAGGAAGAGCAGAGGAGCTAAGATTTAAACCTTCGCCTCTTACGCACGGGTCCGATGCCACAAACCTTAAGATTTGCATTAGATGTATTTTGTCAGTAAATGACTCCATCGAATGTTTTTTTTAATTCAGGGTTGTAAATGTGTAACCTCCTGCAAGTATGTTTTTTCTCTCTCTCTCTCTCTGTGGACCAAAGAGGTGTGTCTTTCAAAAAGTTGTCTCCAACCCCTCCCACGGACTCGTCTCGTAGTCCTAAACTTTGCTGCTGGTTGAAGAAGTTGCTCTTGTAGGCACCAGCCCGGGCCGTGAGAGTCACTCCATCCAAGTGGGGCCGACCTTCCACCCGCCCTGACAGAGCTGACCCCCCCGTGACCCGAGGTGCCCGGTTCGTCTCGCCGCTCCGTGACACCAGCTCAGGTAGGGGATCCTGCCAGCTCTGCTCTTTGTCTTCAGCAGATGAACGTTAATTCAGACGAACTGGGAAGGATTATTAGCGCTGGGCTGATGGGAGAGGCGTTAAAAAACGCTCACTGGTTGCTTCAGGCCTTTCTGTTTCCAGCTCCCTGAGCTCTTCTTTTTAACCCAGCTTACTTTTCATTTCAGACGTTCTCAGCCCAACGCTCCAGAAAGAAATAGTCAAATAAAATAATTGATTTACAAAGAAACAAAGAAACATTTTCTGTTTGCAGTGTTAAAAAATTAGCTGAAATTTACTTTGCGATTTTTAAAATAAAACCAAATAATCTGTAATAAACTGGTTCTCCAAGGCGTTGCRGTTTAAAGTGTTACTTTAGGTCTTCAGCTGTGTTTTGCTCTTATTTGATCAGYCTTCTACGACCTGCTGTCTCACCCTCACCACCTTTCCACTGCTGTTTTGTTCCCCCAGTTTAACCTCTCAGATTTCTATTAATCTGATGAGATTACCGTGGAGTTGTATCAGCAAAGCTTAGACGCATTTAGGATTATAATAATGCCGTCTATCAGATTTTCTCATACTTTATCAGCCACTTCTCCTTTTTCCCTCGTCTTTCCTGTAAAGATACGAACAGAGAGCTGCCGTGACTTTCGCAGCCGTTCGTACAAAGTTTGTGCTTTAGAATGATTTTAAACAATAATTTAAATTTTGGATTTAAAATYTGTGGAGCAATTCTGACAGAATTTTAAAACATCGTGGCTTTTGCCTAAAACAATAATCTGCCTTCAAACATGGCTCCGTTTCTGTGCATCAGTGTCGTGTTTGTTACCACGCAGGGCGTCCCCCCAGGACATATTTTTGGCCCACCTCTAACTGGCACACCTAAGGCCACTTAGAAACCGTTCGGTCACTGGCTGCATCACTACTTTTAAAGTGCCGGGTATTTTTAGTTCTTACTTTCAGCCACAGTCAAATGAGGATCCTAGAAAAGGAAGTTTGAAAAAAGCCTGCTATCGAGAGATCTCGTCCCTGATAACTCCACGTGAACGCTGGTTGTTGTGCGGTGAGAAAAACAACCGCTTCAACCAGAGTCACATCCCAGTCTGGATCACCGGAGAAAAGATGCTGCGGGAAAATAAAGCCTTGTGTTTTTTTTTTCCTCCTCAGAGACTTTCCCACGTTGACATGGACGACTCGTCGGAGCAGTCCCACTGGGTGTCCCCCTCCCTGCTCGGCTCAGACCCTCTGGCTGCCTTCTCCTCGGACTCGGGCCTGCTGGCTTCAGGAGAAGAGGCCGAGGCCTTCTTCTCGGGTCAGGACGCAGACTTCAGCAGCCTGCCTAACTTCCTCTCCAGCCCCAGCCACAGCCGGACGCCGACCGGCTACAGGCACGGCTCGGGTGAGTGCCCAACACCAGCAGTCGCCTCCGTCGTCTTCAAACCTGCCTGATCGCCTCCCTTTTTTCCCTCTTCCTCCAAAGTCCGACAGGTGTTCTCCTCCCCCGGCCTCCTCAGCAACTTCCAGCTGTTGGACGGGCCGCCGGGCCACTCCCTGGGCTCGCCCTACAGCCCCGCGGCCTCCACCTGGAGCAGCAGCCCCCTCATCAAGACCCCGCTGCACGCGCACCCGCCGGCCTCCCTCTACACCCCCGGGGTCGCCTCCTCCTACGCCGCCTCCAGGGACGGGTACTCCTCGTCCCCCAGCAGAGAGGGGAGGGAGAGCCCCCGGCTGCACGAGGCCCTGAAAGCGGAGCGGCTGAGCCCACTGGGGTCGGGGGTCAGCAGCAGCAGCGGCGGCAGCAGCTTTCTGAATCTGACCCCTGCGGCTGGGGGGATGTACCCCTCGTCGCACACCCACCCACACATGCTGAGCCCCTACAGCTCGTACATGAGCGGGCCGCAGGACTACAGCTCCGCTGCGCTCTACTCCGGTGCCGGAGCCTGGATCAGCCCCTCGTACTCTCCCAAGCTGCGCAACAAGATGAGGCCCACCACTCCAGGTGAGGGTCTGCCACGGGGGGGGGGGGGGCATAATTTCCTGTTCAGATGATCACAATCATTTGAAGGGCAGAAAGTTACTGAGTGAAACAGGGTTTGGTTCAAGCTCTGGGGACTTATCATAAATATCTATGGTTCTTCTGTCCTTTAAAACATTTCACCTTAAATGACACATTGTGTCGTAAAACCATTACACAGCAATTTTTCAGCACTCTAAAATTAAACTTGTTAAAATAACTCGTACAGTAATAACTGTTGTTTGTTTGTTTCCTAATAGAGGCCAGGGAGTGTGTGAACTGTGGAGCCACAGCCACCCCCCTGTGGCGCCGGGATGGTACGGGCCACTACCTGTGTAACGCCTGCGGACTGTACCACAAGATGAACGGTCAGAACAGACCTTTGATCCGGCCCAAGAAGAGACTGGTACGACACGCGGAGACAAACCGTTCCTGCTTCGGTTGTAAAATGTTAAGGAAATGAAAGGCGGGCGGTCGTGTAAATGCCTCTGTCCGTACGGGTTATATGTCTGTTAGCAAAATAACCCCTGAACAAAACTGAAGGAAACTCTCAGGAAGTTGTTGTTGGATGTACGCCTCTCACCGATTCAAGATGGCCACCAAAATTTGAGCTAAAACTTGGTACCGTAGCAAATTCTAGCTCTAAACGTTTCATTAACAACACAAACTCTGAGCATTAAAAGCGTGTCCAAAATCTTTGGCTAGTCAGCACGTTTTAAGATGGCTGCCAGAAATATTCAGAGGTACAAAAATACCTAAAAAATAACTAAGTAAAAGTAAAAATACCTTAACATAAAATGACTTTGGTGAAAATGAATTTCACTGATAAGAAAACTAAAACTCGTAAAACTGCTCACAGTAATCAGGAATGTTAAAGTACTTTTATATACACAGTCAGAAACAAAGTGTTGAATTTACTGAACCAAACTGGTTCCACTAAACAGAGTTAACTACTCCACTCAGTTTAGTGGAACCATTTGACATAACATGCTTAAGTAAATCCAACACTTTATTTTTAGAGTGCACAAACAACTTATTCCATGACGAGTTCGGTCATATTTAAATTTTTTGAGTGTAACTAGGTGTTAAATTTTAAAGTAAAGAAGTAAAAGTATAATTTTTATGTTTTGAATGTAACAAAATAAAAGTAAACGTTACGGTTGTTAAAATATATTTGGTAAAATGTGCTGTAAGGAAGTTAGCTAACAGGTCTCTCTACCTGTATAAATAGAGGTCAAACAAAATAACATAAAATAGTTACCGTACACCTCCACAGATATAACTGTCACAAACATAAGAGTGATTTTAACTTTATCACTTTTAYAAATTTTGAGCAAAGATTTAGTGTAGTGGTAACTGAACGCCAACAGATCACACAACTATTGAAAGCTTTGGCCTGCTGGATGGAAATTATTCTTCAAGGAAGGTTAGCTTATTTAACATAATATAATTATACACACACACACACACACACACACACACACACACACACACACACACACACACACACACATATATATATATATATAAATTAGGACACTTGATTTTTGTTGTGTTTCAGATTGTCAGCAAGCGTGCAGGAACCGTATGTGCCAACTGTCACACGAGCACGACGACGCTGTGGCGGCGCAACGCTAACGGGGAGCCYGTGTGTAACGCCTGTGGGCTCTACTTCAAACTGCACAATGTGAGATCCACTGGGATTTATTACAAAGAAACTCTGATAAATGTTAAACTTCCTCAACTAAAATACTTTTCTCTCTCTCTCTCTCTCTGTGTGTGTGTTTCCTCAGGTCAACCGGCCCCTCACCATGAAGAAAGAAGGCATTCAAACGCGCAACAGGAAAGTGTCCAACAAGAACAAGAAGAGCAAGAAGGCAGCCATGTTTGAGCAGTACTCTGAGACGGGTCAGGCCCTTCCCCTGGATGACAGCAGCGGGCCCTTCTCCCTCGGCCCCGGGACTCTGCTGACCTACAGCCACGCGCCCCACCTCATCCCCACGCCGTCCCCCCTGCACCCCTCTGGCAGCTTACCTTACCCCCACCACCTCAACACCGGCATGGTGCCCACACTGGTGTGACAACCAGCCTGCTCCCTTCTTCCTCATCCGTGTGGATTTGTACAGAATAAATACTGAGGTTTGTTTATTTTCATTGTTTTTTGTTTTTTAAATCATATTTGTTTGCTCTGTGATAGAAATCTCTCACTGCACGTGTAAACGCACTGATAAGGGATTTTGTTCAGCTGTAAATACAAACAAAAAATCTCATTTAATGTAAAAAATAAAAATAAAAAAAAATCTGCATGAAGACTCGTCTTTATTTATCCAGAAGGTGAAGCTTTTACAATGTTGGAATGGGTCTCTGTTACGTATTTGCATAATTGTTGTGGCCACGCTGAAGCGACGGAGGACAATAATAAAGTGTTTGACTGGTGTTGGACTGGTGAGAGGGTTTTGTTTGAAGTCATTTGAATTGGCAGCTCAGTGACCTGACCGGAGCACCACCTCCTGTGTGGAGTCATTGTGCTCCTCCGCTCGCAGATAGAGCTGTCTTTGTGCGGCCACCGCTTCACTTTGACAGTGTAATTGAACAGAGCAGGTATGCAAAGCAGCCCTTCCACAGAACATTCAACTAAAGTGCAACACTTACACCTGGTAATAAACTTAGACCCAGCCAGGCCAGATGAGGAACAACGTGTCTGTCTCACACACACAGACACACACACATAATGTCGCRTATGTATTTTTTGTCACTTATTATTATTAAAAGCTTCAAAGAGGTCATGTCTTTTTTTGGAAACCAGTCATTTTCTGTTCTCATACTGTACTTGCATTTATCGATCAGATGACACACATTTCTTCTTTCTTCATTTCTTCGCTGTTATAAAGATTCACTG